ACACAATAGTCAAAACAAAGGACTCAAATGTACCAATGATCATGAAGATGGCACAGGACTGGGCACAGTTGGGTTGTTATAGATCAGGTTGCAGGAGTCAAAGTAGGCTTTATAGCAACTAACAACAATGTAACCATATGTACACTTCAAAGTACTTTAGAGTTACTGAATAGAAACCGAATTTGGTACCCTAGAAGAGAAAGATGTACTATGCAGACTGTTTTCAAAGTGTGGTGGTAAAACATTCTTCTTTGCACTGTATGCATTCTATCCAAGCAGTAAGCTACTTCACCCAGGTGTGCACTTTTAAAAAATTCTGTTAACATTTTGACTCTTATTGTACTTTGGTGTACTGCAAGGTGAGAGATAATTTTGAATACCTTGGTGACCCTAAATTACCTTTCGGTGAGACTTTTATAAAATGTTATTCTGGACAACAAAGCAGCCAAGACTGCTCATTTCTAGTTCTCAAACACATTTGCTTTCTGATCAACTAACCATTCTACTAGGGCAAATCATTTGTCTGTTTCCCTTTTATAAGATCAGGTTCCATTGGCGAACCTTTGGAGAATAAGAAGTTGTCTTTTGTATCTAGACCATATTTGATGTCCTCTCGATGGATTTGCTCACCTATCTTGCTTGAGTAACACAGAGCCTGGCACTTGCAAATAGGAAGAGATATCTAGGCAGGAGTAAGCATATATATATATATATATATATATATATATATAAATATCTACACTTTTATTTTTTTTTAAAGAATAGTAATAGTTTCTCTGTTTTTCAAGTCTTCAATGTGAAAAACCTTATGGACAATGAAGAAAATTCAATTCTCTATGCCTTCAAGGCTTTTGGTAAATATTCAGGCTGATTTTATACAAGTGAAGATTGTCATATAATTATGTGTTAGAAATTTCCTGAACATTTTCAGAATGGGTAGAAATATGCCCATTAGAAAGAATTAAAATAATTTTAGGCAAAATACTTCTAAAAAGTTAGTTCTTTGAGTTTTAATACTAACATCTCTTAACAGCAAAGGAGGCATATTATACTCAACAAGACAGATTTCACAGGAAGTGTGTAAATCCCCACAGATGCACCATTGTTTTCACTGACTACTTCATCTGGAATCAGCTGGTGTAGCAAAACATTGACTGGAATTCTGACAAAGACATACTAGGCAAGATTTGTGCAGATTCTGGCTACAATTGCCAGATCTTCTATGAATCTTCTATCCATTGCTGTTACGAACATGATATCTGCAGCCAACAGAAGACTGGGATTCTCCAACAAGAAATATCAATGGGTAATGGCCACTCGCCAGAAAGATGTTCATTTGTTAGATAATGCTTTGTTACATACTTCACAGAGTACTATTACTGTGTGTCAAATAACTCCATTATCAGTTGGACAAAGGTTGGAGTCTGGTGATGGGGCTTATATCAAAGTTTCTGAGTGGAAGACATCACTTAAACCTCTCTGGAAATGGTTTTACCAGGTTATTCTGACAACCACTATATCAGTCAGGTGCAAAGATCTGTCTTAGGTCTATAAATCCCAAGGTAAGACATGTTGTTTTTATCCTTTTGACATCTTCTTGTGACCCGCATTGCACTAGAGTTCAAGATAAGTGGTAACAGCTTATAGGAAACTCCTAGTGGTGGCCTGAAGTCATGTGGACAACTGGCAGCTGTCCATAATTAAATCTCATGCTCCAACAACCTTCCAGAACTGCTTCAAGAGGGTTCTATTCTGTGACAAGAAGTGACACTAAAGAAACTCTTCAAAAGGATAGTACTTAATCTGGATGTTAGCTCTTAATTAGTTTTCAATTTGTCTATGTTGGGGTTATGGATTGAGTTCTCTCTCTCAAAATATGTGTTGGAATCCTAACCCCTGTATCTGTGGATGTAATCTTGTTCAGGAGTAGAGTTTTTATTATGTTGTTGTTATGTGCTGATGACTCGGACC